GGCTTGGAGAGCTCCAAGCTTGCCGAGTGGGGGATCATTTCTGCCTGTGGCAGCTTTCCAAACTGTGTCACCTCCTTCCCAGCCTGCCCTTGCTCCTTCATCTGTGTCTGCGTAATCTGTGAAAATGGATTTTGTGTCCTTCTGGATGCAGTTAACCTGTAAGGCAATCTGAGACTTCTCTTTCTAGCATGGAAGTATGTTTTTCAGAGTGTGAGAACTGTTTATTAAGGTCCTTCTCTCCCTGTGTGTGGTGGGAGGAAACAATGTGTGCTGAAATGTTATCATAGTTCATATTTGAGGAGGAACTGTGAATAACAAGCACCTTTTCTCTACAAAAAGAATTTCTTTTGGCTCAGGAAATCCCTGAACTAAAAATTGCTGGTTGCAGAGAGAGAATTTTGGAAATGAGCATGTATTTTTGCTCTGTGCTTATCAGAAGACAGCTTACATGGTCACCTTTGGTTTGAACTGGAAAATCTGCTTTCGTGTTTTAATATCAATTACTCTTTACTGGCAGACAAAAAAGAAAGGTACCTACAGGCTTTTCTTTTTCCTACTCTGCTTTTCAATACTGTCTACAAGAGACTTTTCAACTCAGAAATCATTCTTCAGTCATATGTTTATGCAATTCTTCATGCTGCTGCCTATTAGTCTCTTTTCTCTTCTTTTGAATTAAGCACAGGTTATGCTTTCTAAAATAGATTTGTAAGCTCTTGAACAAGACTGCAGATACTTTTACACAGCACCTCAAGCTTACTGAAGAAGCTTGAGGAATAATTAAAAAAACAGTTATTTTCCTTCCAGGAATCATTACAGCTTGAACCATTGTTCTGTGGTCTAATTAATCAAGGAAGTATTTTTAAGTCTTGTAATGCAATGTCTCAGTTTTGACTAACAGGAAGTTATGTTTTTAATGTCTTCTATTGGTTATCAACATGCAGACATATATTGACCAGAAATTTTAAGATCTGAGGAAGTTTTTTAAAATGTTCTTGAGTAGACAAGTGCTACTTCTCAGATTGTAGAACGGTATCTTTTCACTTGCATTTTAATTTTTGCCTTGAAAATTATATGGGGAAATGAGGAGAGGGAAGGAGAATGCATTTTCAATAGGGTTTCAAAAGAGAAAAACTCAAGATCTTTGAATAGAAAGAAAATTACTGGATTTTTAATTTTTTTATTTTTTTATTGTGAGTGTACTGATTAACAGAAAAATCTATTAAGAAATAAATAAGCAATTAGGAAATTTACTTCAGGCATGCCAATGCCTTCCTTTACAGCTGTTAAAATATTTTTGCCTCTTCACCATAAAGTGAGTATAGATGGACTGTGAATTTTCAGTGTTGCATTTATTCTCATCTCAATTGGAATAGTGATGGAAGAGTGCAGTTTTCACTATGGTGCCTAAGGAGACGTTCAGGCTTTATTGAAAGTAATTGAAATGGCATATCAGATAAAAATGAAACAAAACTTAACAAAAAAACCCCAGCTCTTTCAGATATGAAAGAGGAAAGTCATGCTTTGGCAATGAGGAGATGTAAAGGGGTAACATACAACTCTTCTAAGATTCAGTAAATCAGAAAAACACAGTAACAGAATGTTCAGTTCAGAAAAAGAACAAATATTTTTGTGTTGTTCATCTCTGTTCCTGTTTGTTCTTGACTTTTCTCTCACAGTCCAGTCTGGACTATCAGTTCTCATTGATACCACTTCTGGCACATTTCCCTGTTAGATCATGACCATAGTTTTAGTGCTCCTTATCTTTCAGGCTCCTCAGGGAAGTGGTCACAGCACTAAACCTAACAGAGTTCAAGGAGTGTTTGGATGATACCCTCAAGCACATGGTGTGACTCTTGGGGATAGTCCTGCGCAGGGCTAAGGGTTGGACTCAGTGATCCTTGTAGGACCCTTCCAACTCAGCAGATTCTGTGATTATGTGTGATTCTGTGGTTCTTTATCACTATTAAACAAAACCACTATCCTTCCTCTCACTCAGGAATTAGCCATTTCTGCTCTCTGTGCCTTATCCTGTAAGCAATATTCAAATACTGCTACTTCTTTCTTACAAGTAAGTTTTGGTAGCTTCTTTTACTTTCCACATAGCTATGTATTTCGTTCCATCCTATGCTGATCAATGCACTCTACTATTCTTTTACAGCTCTGACACATCAGCTTTTCTCCACCTCACTATTACCACAGCTCTTGCAAAGGTCAGATTTGTTAATCCTTTTTTCTCATTTTTCATTCTAAATCTTTCCAGTGCACCCAGTTCAAGCTGTTCCTCTTTATTTAAAAGATTTCTCACAGGTCTCTGGGTCTTTTCACACCTGTTCATGTTTCATTCACCATTGTGCCTTCCAGTATTCTGTTCTAGAAATGTCGTTTGCCTTGTCTCTTCACTCTTCCTTAACGGCTGGGGGATTGTTATTTACAGTTGTTTTTATTCATGGTTGTCTTCTTTTTGTGATTATAGAATCATAGAGTCAGATGGGTTGGAAAGCACCTCTGAGATCATCAAGTCCAACCCTTGAAATAGTTTCCAAAGAGCTGTATTTCCATTTGTATGCATAATGGCTCTTTCACTTTCAGTTACATACTACCCTTTTATGATTAACCAAATCCTTTTCTCATTAGCCAAATAATTAAGGATATATAAAGGAGCAGTTGGTACAATGAAGAGCATGAATCTTATTTTTATTAAAAATGCTCCATTTAAGTATGACAGTTTACATAAAATGTATACTACACGTACATTAAAAGGAATGAAGTTATTATAGACAAATAATGCATCCTACTGTTGTCACCTAATTTATGCTTTATATGGTCTTTAATGGTAACTGTTCTGGGAAAGCACTGACAAGGGCTGCATGTACAATATAGCTTGGGAGCTATAACTGTACACATATAACTGTTATTATTGTTCTAAGTTATGTACTCTAGGCAGGTTTTCTTTTCCTGCAAAGGCAATCTGAAAGTTTGATGTGCCCCAATAAGTGTCTTCTTGTTAATAGTTTGATCACACATTTTCTTTTGTAAAAAAGAGCCATAAACTGTTAACATAACACTTATCAACTCAGTGAGGAAAAAGCCAGAACAATGTATCTGCAGATGAAATCAAATCTGGAAAAGAAAATCTTATGAAAATATATTTCACTAAAAAGTAATATATGACCAATATAATGGTTATTCTCAGTATAAGAAGGCACACTAAGGAACAATTCACAGCAATAACATCAGTGTTGCAGGCTCTTTTCTTATAGAGAACCATATAATGAAGCAGAAGTGGAGTAGTTTTGTAAGCCATTCTTGGCGTAATTTTGTCTTGTATCAGGCAGTTTTCTCTAAGGTTTAATGAGAAAATTTGCATGAACTTTCTTTCACCCAATGAAAACGTTAGGTTCTGACACTCTCATCAGTTTAATGTAGTTTAACCTGTGTTTGTGAGGATATCTACCTTTTTTTATTGTAGAAGTACCTTTTAAAAAATCTTTTAAAATACTACAGAAGACAAAATCTTATGTACTCAACCAAATAAAGACTTTTAAAATCTCTTTAGATACACACTATATTAAATAAAAAAGCTGTTTACTTTCTTTTTTTCCTCATTCCTTCTGAAATTCAAGCAGTTCACAGAAGATCCAACCTGTGCACTTCTGAGTGAAAGTTTGAATGTCCATGTATTTTTATTCTCCAACACAGTTTTTCCATGGAATCTGGCATAGCTTTAGCTTCATTCACTTAACTTTGCAAATGAAAATATTTTATATCAAGAGTGATACATCCGCTTGTATTTTTTTCAGCATGTCTGATTGTGTAATATCTGGTTTCCTTGGCACTTGCAGAGCAGGAAAGTCATAACCACAAATGCCGTTTATTTCCCCAGCGTCTTTTTGAGACAATCATGAGAAAATGTCTTGAAAGCATTTACTGTGTGAGTGGGGTTTGAGTTCTTCAAGGGAGACTAAACTTTTGCTACTGAGAATTTGAATATCCTGATGGACTTGGAAATCCTTTGGAAGTGCTCTGTCACTGAAGCACTGAATGATAAAAAACTATGTGGCCGTGTAAAAGGAAACACTTTGAGAATGAAAGTAGAAAAAACAACCAACAACAACTTTAGCTTTCACTGCATATAATATAATATCTTCTTTTCATTTTTTTAATATTATAAAGTTAACAAGAGAAAAAGACCCTTCTATCTGTAAAAAAATATTTTCTTAGCAAACACTAGTGGCAGCTAGAATGTATGCAGAATAAATCTCTGTTTATTCACTCTGAAAAAAACTTGGATGGTGACTGAGCTTTGCAGATCAACGTAATTGCCACATCTCGGACAGTTGCAGGGGATGATTGCTAGAATAACCACACGGGGGTTTTTAACTTGCTGGGGATTTATTCCTCCTTATTTTGAGGAGGATACAATTACTTGAAAAATCGTTGGTGCCTCAGTCTTCAACGTTCTCACCGTTGTGATATCTGTCTGTCTGACAAAGTGAGAAAGACTTTAGACCTTGAAGAGTTTGGAAGAAAAATATGAAGATATAGGTACCTTATTCGTTTACTCCACTTTACTATTATGTCTGCCAGTTTGAGAAAAATTGGGTCTTACTTTAAAGCCTGTGTTAGAAGTGCTCGTGAAAATAACCTTTGGTAATATATTTATTTGTGTAATTAGGTGTCTGATATTGCAGTAACTCATGATGATCCCATGCTGTTCATGATGCCTGTTTTGACTGTCGTGGTCTCCAGCAAATGTGCACAGAGGAAGAAAATAGTTTTAGTAAAAAGATAACCATGTTTTCATTCTTTTTTCTTGTAACTGCATCTGATTTAAGGTAGAGGAATAGAAGAGCCTGTTATCTTCCACTTCACTCTTTCTTCTTTGGTTTATTATTCATTTTAAAGTGTTGCTGTGACTGGCTTATATGTATAAGTGCTAATGACGTTACTGTGGGCAGCACAGGACAAACAGACTGACATGGATCTCCTGTTTTTTCCAGATGAGGATAGGCATTCACTCAGGTTCAGTGCTGGCTGGCGTCGTTGGTGTAAGAATGCCACGCTATTGTCTATTTGGGAACAACGTCACCCTTGCAAGCAAGTTCGAGTCAGGAAGTCACCCACGCCGCATCAATGTCAGTCCCACCACATACCAGTAAGTCCTCTTAGCCTTTTCATGCTGTCTGTCTTTCAACCTGTTTTGAGTTTGATCTTGTAACATCCTCTGTCCTCAACACATGAACTTCATCAGAAAGTTATCAAGGCACCAGGACAACTGGAAAGAGGTGTTGCCTGGGGATGCTGGTCTTTCTTTTGCAGGTTTGCATCAGAATGTGCAAAGAAGTCAGGCAGGGGACACAAGGAGGCACAACAGAATGGCCAGCTGTTCCTGCCTAAAGTAACTTGTCACAGAAAAAGCAGGAGATATTTTCCAAAGCACCATAGTTTTATGCACTATTACAGCTTTTGGCTAGGAATTTGGATTCCACCCACTAAACACAGTTCATGAAAGTAAGGATATTCCCATTGGCTCAGAAGAAAGTCCCTAATTTTTCCACTAAAAAGCCAAGCTTTCAAAGAGTTTTTATGCTTTCTCAAAGACAAAATTTCTTATTTAGCACTTTACAGAGACATACTCTTAATGTAGGAAAAAAGATTGAAAATGGCTAAGCATTATCCCTAGATCTTTGAAGAAATTATGCAAATAGAGAGAAGGCTTGATTAAATCTGGTTGTGAGGAACAGCTCCTAAATAAAGTGTTCCTTATTGTTCAAATTTGACAGTTTGACTATTAGAATTTCTACTGCTTGTATTACAATGTACTCACTTTTTTGGCAGATCTCAATCTTGCTCTTCTCCAGTGTTTTATATCTGAAGTAATTTTCTGAAGTAAGGTTTTTCTCAGGTTTTGAAACTGCATGGTGAATCTGTATACAGTTGTTCAAACAATATTGCTTTTCCTTAGTTTTTTTCCTATTGAGAACTGTGAATATCAATTTTTTCCTATACTTATCTATGTAAATAAAATTTTAAATTTTAAATGGGATTTCTTCCTGCAGAATTGAAGTGTCTGGTGTGATAAAATGTGAATCATTCAGAAATTACAGTGAAAAGTAATTAAACTAGTGCATAAAATGGCATTCTTCTGAAGATCCCATTCACTTGTGATCAGATTTTGAGAATGAACCAAGTGTAGCAAATTGAACAAAAAGCAGAATAACTGAATAGGCTTTGTATCATCAAGTGAACAGAAATAGATTGATACAGTAACCTGGTAACATGCAAGATAAAGACAGACACAATCTACTATTGTTTATAGAAAAAAATAAATTCAATAAATATATAGGAAATTTCTGTTTGGAACTTTGGAAATGTGGTTCAGGGGTGTGATTTCACTCAAGGCTATGGGATTGCTTGCTCATATTTGTGTCTCTGAGAGCAGAAACTGGTGAGCTAGACAATTTTATGGAAATGTCAGTAATGTGCATTTAGGGCACTAATGATGCACAAAATTCTCTTCTTTCATGTTGGAGCCAGAGTCACTTTCAGTGTACAAGTACCAGTTCTGTAGAGTTTTGTTATGAGTGATATGGCACCTCCTCTGTGAGACACAGTTTTGGTGTCACTGTTGAGCAACCTGATCTTCAAGATGTCCCAGCTCATTGCTGGGGTATTGGACTAGATGGCCTTTAAAGGTCCCTTCCAACCCAAACTATTCTATGATTCTGTGGTTACCTTTTTTTTTTTTTTTCTCCAGCACATTGCTTATCAAAAGTTTGTTCTGAAATCTAGTTTGTGAGATTCTATAGGGAGCTTGTTAAAAATCTATGATTTTATGCTGCCCTTTATCTGACTCTTAGCATTGTAGCACAGAGGAGATGTATTCTCTCAGCTCTACCTGGCTGCCAGTGGTCATACTGTACCACAGCAAGTCAAATGCAGATAACCTGGCCTGGAGAGCCTTCTTACTAAGTCCTAAACAGCATAATGTGAGTCAGATTTTCTCACCCTGTGTATCTTCCAGGTTGTTTCAAAAAAAGGGCTATGGGTTTTTTTCACTTCCCTTTTAATCCTAGAAATCCAGTAGTAATATGACCATTTGATTCAAGATGGCCAAATTTTCACCTTCTATGACTATTATGTCTATGCTTATCTTCCAGAAAGTTACAAATTTAGACTGTTGCTTCAAAATGAGAAGATAGTAGAAAAGTGACTGGCATTGTAGTAACACTGTAACATAAAATTGCAAAACAAAACACAGCAAAATATAGAATTATTGGTATTTATCTCCATTTTTGTACTCTGTAAACAATCTGTTGTTATGTGCTGAATAAATTCACTGCTTGATTCAGAGAACTTTCAGTTCGAGTAGCAGACTAAACACATGATTACAGGTAAAGGAAGAAGAAATGCCAAAAAAAATGTTTGAATGAGAGCCAGTTATCAGTCAAGGTAAATGGCTAAAAGTAGTGCTGATCAGGCTAGGAGCAATTTTATATTACAGGCTTTGGAGATTACATGACAAGATAAAATGAATGTGCATGGGGCAACTTGAAAAGGCTATTTCAAACCATACCTTCTGGTATGATTGAAAGCAGGCAGGGAAAAAGTGAAAAAACGACACTGCTGACACAGTGGCCAGGAGAGATTGCGATTGAAAATAGTCTAAGGAGCAAAATTATTCAGAGGTGCTGAAAGTGATCTAGGAAGTTTGGATATAATATCCCAGAACTGTCCAAATAAACAAGTAGTGATCTGATACATCTTTATATAACTTTTCTTAAATATAATTTACATGACTATATGTTCACTGTGCACAGATAAAGTGATTCATCACAAACTGAAATGCCTTTACATTTGACTTTATATTCTATTAAATGCTTATATTTATTAGACTGTGCTGCTGTGTACTCACTTGACATTTCTATTATTTAGGAAGCAATGTTTTCCAAACTATATAATTCTGCAATCAGTATGCAAATAGCAGAGTTTTCAGTTAAATGAAACTAATGACATACAACTTTTGTGCTTATAAAGTATACAGATACTAGAAACTTGACCAATACTTATCAGCTTTCATTTTACAGTAAAGTTTATGCATCGTAAAGTGTCATTAGCATTCAAATAATAATCACACTTCAGAATACCTATTATTGGTTTCAGACACTTCTCTGCAAGCCTATAATCTGCGTAAGTAAGAATCATAGTCTAAAATTATAAATATAAGATGTGATATTTGTTGCCTAGCAGCAACGGTGAACCTGGGGCAGCCTTGCTCCAGTTATACCTGCCTGGGCAGAGCTCTGCAATGTGTGAAACAGCACCTTTTAAAAAGGTGAACTTAGAATCTGTTGAATCAGAATCCTCACTTCTGTTTGAAATACCTTCTCTAAACTCAGCCAGGTCTTTTGACAGAAGGATTACAGAGCCCTGTTTGCTTTGAGTCACTGAGCACTGTGAAATGAAATCATCACTGGAAGAGCATTGGTAAAACTTCCAGTGGAACATGTGGAAACTGGAGAGCAAGATCTCGAACTGGTCTCTGTTTAAACATGTGGACAGGAAGGAATAGGAAAAGAATCAGCTCAAGGTTTATTTAATTCATCCACTTTATCCTGAACTGAATAGAATTACCCTTTTTTCCATACTCAGGAAGGAAGCATAATGAGTTTATGAGACTCTACAGCACAGAAGAGAGATTAAATATTTTTTAATTCTTTGTTTCAGCCATGAATAATTATTTTTATGAGATATTAATATAATATACCAACATTCATCTTGTTTTCCTAGTAGTGTTGCAGCATAATGTCTTGGGATTTCTAGGCAGTTATCAAAAGCAGGTAAACACAATTGTTGCTATTTATCAAGTAACTCCTGTTTAAAAAGAAAATTTTTTTCCTGTTCTTTCTACCTCTGGTCTTTTCCATTGCATATTTCCCTTGTGGAGAATGTGATTCTGGAATTAAGTGTTGCGTACAGATACTTTCCATTATCATATGCTGGGTGATACATCTGGGATCTGAGCTTAGACAAAGTTGAACAGCCTGTATCCCACATCTTTAATCTTGATTTAGGAATTTCTTTCCTACGGGTTATATCTATATCTACATCTATATTTTTCTGCCTCATATGGACAAGCCAAAGGGTATGCTCTGCAGGAAAGCAGTACATAGTTTCCTTTGCTGTAGTGCGTTTCATTTCTTTTAGAAATATTGTTCAAATTTGATCTGTACAGACTGATTCAGATTCAGTCTTTTCAGATTACTTTGGAGCATTCTTCAAGAAACTGTCTGTTTTTATATTGTTCAGTTAACTGTGTATGCTTTCAATAAACGTTGAGGGACAAACAACTTAGTTACGGACAGAACTGGTACACACATTATACATGGACACAAAAAATTATTTTTAGTCTAATTACAGTATTAAAAGTGTAGGCAAAATGCACTAGTTTATTCTTGGGTTTCTGTTTTCCGTGTTATCTCAGTGTTATGAGGCTGCACCCCCCATAGTGGGTGTGTTTATGGTCCTGGGGCTTCTGTTGCCCAGCCATGCTTGTGTTTGTACTTTTATTCAAGGCCCATCGGTAGTTCACTCTACACAGAATAATCTGTGTGTGAGATCACTGTTCGTTCCTTAACAGTGTGTGTTACACTGCAGTTTCACACAGCTAATCTAAAGCTAAAACATGTTTGGGCAATAGTCATCTGACAGCTACACGACTGCTAAAACTACAAAAAGCTCAAGCCAAGACAAATCCAGGCAAGTCCTGAGGCCAGCACTGTTACATCAATGCAAAGCCTCAGGCCTTTTCCTACTGATGATGCAATCCTGTGCACTGAGCCTTTTTCTCCCATGTCCCAAACAGAGGGCAGAGATCCAGTATTCTTTCTGCTTAGGTGGATGAGAAAGAAAAGTATTAAAGATCAAAAATAAACACTCACCATGCTGAGCTACATGGAGTATGCAATATATTCCATTAAAAATCATAACTAGTCCTTTGATAACCTTACTACAATTGATCTGTATAAAGGAGAAAAACCAATACATGAACTTCCATAGTTAAAAAAGTAACAAATATAATCTGAAATTACTTAGATGTAGTTAGGGTTTTTTTTCCTAGTCTCCTGGTCTTTCTAGCATGCATAGAAACTGAGG